GCTTTTTCCCCGCTTAAATGAGTATGTGTCTCTCTTCCTATGCCTTTATGGGTGTTTACAGGTTATGTTCCCACAGAAGAGAATCATGACAAAAGCTCCCATCCTTTTAAGTCCAATTTATTTTGTACTTCTATTCTGTGTAAAGCTGTTGATCAAATCCTGCTGGATCAAATCCTGCGCTGGGATATTGTGGATTTCGGCGGCTCAGTGCTCGCATCTCATTATACAAGTCAGGGGGATGAAAATATGGGTAAAACATTTGATGATTGCTACATTCCGATGGCCAATTGAGCAAAAAGCGAGTCTCCGGATGTTGTGACACCGCTAGAAAAAGCGTTTTAACAAAGCCGCGAACTGTTAATAACCATTTTTAAGATGCACGGGCCTTATTCATTTTGGGCCACTAAAAAAGCTACAGTTTTGAATCCTCCAAACGAGGAGATCGAGATCTGTCTCCAGTTCCTTCCACACGGCCCTCCAGGTTACAGGCACTCTGGCTGCTGTCGTCCCAGATGCTTCGCTGATTTGTCAAAGAGGCAAAATTGATGAATACAGAGTAGAAGAGGAATATTGATGCCGAGGACAATCCCACAGTCGCTAATTAAAGCATCATGGTGCTGATAATCCAGAGAGGAGGAGAGGATGCTCGGAAGATCAAGCGTATGTGTGTTAGTGTGTTAGGGAAAGGGGTTTGGAAAGGAATCAAAGTAGAACCTGGGCAGCCCTCCACCATTTAAGAGATACTTACAGACCTTGGAGAGGTGGTTGAATGATGGGAGTGGAGAAAGAATAATGAAAAACAAGTGCGTTCAGGTTGGACTGCCTGCTTGGGGTTGATGAGCCGCTGCATTTAAATAGCATAAATTAGCCTAGTGGCCTACTAGCAGATTTTCCTTACTCATAGCTGTCTGCTTACTCTTACCTGGTTTGATTCACTGCATCTCCGGACATCCCAGAGATGAATTCAGCCCAACTTAGCTGCACTGAAAAGCATACTGTATATTTAAAGGGGAACTACTGGGTCTACAGCTGGAAGCAGACATCGGGTATTTACTAGAGATGATCTGATCACGTGATCGGGGATCGGAGCCAATCACGTGATTTTCAAAAGATCGGAATCGGGAGAAAAAAATTGGGATTTTTTATTTTTTATTATTAAATATTTGTATTTTATTTAATGTTACAAAATAAAAATGACCATGTTCACGTCTTAAAGTCATCCTGAGGCCTTAGTTTTGGTTTAAAATTACACAACATCATGTATGTGTTGCTTCTTTTGGGCTTGTTTTCAGACCTGGTTGCTTATTTCTCTCAAATCTGGCAACAGAGTGGGCAGGGCGCAGTGTCTAATAGTAGCAGTAAGCTAACGAGAGGCTACGTTCAGCTGGTGACTCGGGAGTCGGGACAGAGAAAATGTCAGGAGTTTGGAAGTATTATAAAATTGAAAGCGAAGGCAGTGTAACAGCCAGATGCAATGTTTGCAAGGCGGAGGTTCCGTGTGGTGGAAAGAACAGAGCTACGTTCAACACGACCAATTTAATACACCACCTGAGAAACAAACACAAACAACAACATGACGAGTACACAGCGGCCAATCAGGTAATGGCACTGAAACAACCTACACTTTCAGAGACTTTTAAAAGGAAAGCGAAACTGCCCCAGAACAGTGAAAAGGCCAAAAAAAGAACAGCCAAGATAGCTGAATTCATCGCGTTGGATGAACAGCCGTTATCTGTTACCTTTTTTTCTCTTAATGTATTGCATAAAGATCGGATCGGAAAAAATCGGTATCGGCAGATTGTCAAAATCAAATGATCGGGATCGGATCGGGAGCAAAAAAAGGTGATCGGGACATCCCTATGCACAACATTAAGCATCCAGTGGAGACCTTTTGGTTTCCTTCGTTTATTTAGTGAAACCAACTATTCCCAATATAAATCATGTAAAAGATGGCATGATAGATTTTCTTTCATTTGCACTTAGGTATTTATTGATTTGGATGATAATGAAATTGAGTTGTTTATTGAATTTCCAAAACATTATTTGAGCTGTTGATCAATGTAAATATCTTATTTATGGCCCTTGTAATGACCAGTAAACCTCTATTTTTCAAATGGAAAAACTGTTCTTAGATTATGATTTGGATGAAATTTTCCATAGAGAAATAACTTTGTTTTAGCCATTAAAAGGACATTTCTGAATCTGAAATTATACATACATCCTTTTTCAAAAAACGTATCATACTGGGCAGAAATAGTGGGATATGAAAGTCAAACCAAAGACTCACATCACCTAAATAATTAGCCTACTTTCAGCTGATGAGAAAGGGAGACATGACAAGGAGGGAGGGGGGGGAGGATGTGCTGACTGATGGTATCACTTTGCTTTAAGAGTAAGCAGTTATTAATCATGTCTATCATATGACCCTCTGTCCAGCTGATTCCTAAGGCAAATATCTGATTCACCTTTACCAGACTTGACCATACGACCTTCTACACAGCTTCCTCCACTCCTTTCAGCCTGATGGTGCGTTCATGTGATCTTCTTGATAAACAGTCATTACTCCGTGTCTTCACACTCAGTTTCTGTCATGTGTTGTTGATTCAGATAAGTTGTGACACAGGAGTAAGCAATAGTTGGCACATTAGAATACATGCACAAATGCAAAGTTAACTACATAATACATACGTTTAGCGTTTGTTTCTGGACACTATGCAGGAATACTAGACACAAAATCCCAATAGCCAGCAGTTTCTCACCAACCATTGAACAGGATTTTTACAAAAGTAAACTGATTATTATTTTAAAAACCATATCTTTGTTGCTTTATGATACATACTCTTGTCTTGAGCACTTCAACCTGACTTGGACTCTTTTTGAGAATTAACTATTGTCTAAGTCGACTTAATAAAACTTAGTCGATTAAGAACAAAACAACGTATTAGTCGATGTATTGACTAAGAGAAGGCAGCCCTTAAACAGAAGATGTTTGAATGTTTTATTAGCACTTGGTTGCAGTAACCTCTGGGCGTTGCAGCATCCTGCCCCACTCAGAATCATGTGACTGCAGGAATGCAGAAGTCTCTAATGCAACATAACCAGGGAAAGATGCAGGTATGCAGGTAGTCAGGTGCTCATGTGGTCATGTGGGCATGTTTCTTAAAGT